CTCATACCGAGAGTGCATAGTCGGTAAGGCGTCGAACTCAGAAACAATAGGTCCTGAATTCAAGCCTCAGCTGGGGTCAATGGCCTTTCTTCCTTCTGAGGTTGATAAATAAGCACCACAACTTCGTGAAAAACAACAGAAGACTAGACGCTACGCCTGCCACATGGCTGTTCTACTTTTAAAAAATAAATAATAACATTCTTGGCAAATGAATAAAAACCGAGATCAGCATCGCGCCATTAACTTCATGAAAAAGGCGTCAAAATAGCGCAATCATGAAAACGAAGGGAGACCGGCATTCCAAAAGTGAGAAACTTCTATTTTTACGTTCTGTCTTCCGCCAGACAGTGCCAATGCCATTGGCCTTAATTCATATTGATCGTCATCCAAACAAAACAGCAAGCAACCCAGGCTTCATTCCAAATTTATCAAGACTCGTCTGTAGTACAACATATAACCTGTATATAAAATATTTCACATGTACGCATTGATCTATAGTGATGAAATAAAAGTATGCAAAATATTTATACGTACATTAATGTACTGTTAGTATTCAACTCCGCCGGTAAGAATAACCATTTCCCGTAAATTCTGCGGATTTATACGGCGTAAACGCATCGTGCATATATACATAAAAATAGACTCCGGTATTAGTTGTGACCTAGGGAACTAGAAGCAGGGAATGATGCAACCGCATTGGAAATTCGAGAAATTGTACTGTACCTGTATACATCTGATTAAACAAGCAAAAGTTGACGAACTTGAAAATTACGTATACATAGTACAATAGTTCGCATATAACGTCTGCCTATTTCGCATATACGCTCTCTTACATTCACGTTACACAGTACCTCACACTGGCAGTATTTTTACATTAAGTACCAAAGAACAGATTACTATCACTGAAGTGGATGAACGTTCGGAAAAAACACAAGAATAAAGGCTATAGTAAAATAGTGAAACGTGCGCTTGATAAACGTCAGCTAGAAAGCAATTCTTCAGCAAAGATCGATGTTTCGATCTGCAAGGATTTCGAATGTTCTTACTTATGGTCAATTTTCCGCTAAAACAACAACTATGAGAATTACTTTGTAGCATGCCGGAGGTCGGATGTTACAAATTGTGGTGGATTTGTCTGGCGAGAAGCCGCAGTGAATAAGGGGAGGGGGGTAGTCGTTTTCCTTCGCTTGGTTCATTGCCATCTAAAGATTTTGCTAAAGAAAAATAAACCTTCCCTTAAGCCCACGCCCACAGCGCGTTGTTAAAACTAAAATTTGTTATTTGTTGTTTTTGTTCATGCTCCGTTCATCGATAGTGAAAAAGAAGATTCTTACGTATACGACCTCATGGGACAACCTCGAAAGTAAATACTCAACGGTGGCGACCTCCTCGTGAATAAAGGCAGGCGGTTACGTCATTTACGAGAATGAACATCGATATTCTGAACATCGTGTGTGTGGAGGA